TGGAAGAAAAAATAAACAAAAATATGAATGGCTACATCATTGAGCACTTGCAACATTGCAACACAGCAACACACGCAATGGGGCAATTCAGGGCGGAAAGCCAAAATAAAAAAGTTACCAAACAAGTATTTATGCACGGAAAGAAACCCTGCACGAATAGAATGAGGTAAGAAAACATCAAATATCAAAGTAAAATGTAGCTTCAAATATGGCCGCGACAGAAATAATATATTTTTTTACGCAAGTAGTGCCAGTTAAACTTGTTTTGTGGAAACAGGTACCACTCCGAAGTATGTCAGAGTTATTATATAGGAATATGACTTTCTAAAAAACGAAGAGATACCGAGATTTTACCAGATACTTACAAACTTTTCAGAACTTTTCTCGGTTTTTGGAAGCGATGGCTAAACCGATTAAATATTTATATACGAATTTGTTGCGCTACACTTTCCTATTGGAAAAAATGCAGTGAGTATCGTGTTTCTGTTTTTAGAAGGTGTGGTACTTATCACTTAAGAAAAGGAAAAAAGTTGTCCATCTTCTAAGTATGTATGAGCTCTGTTTCTTGTAAGAACAGGCAAATGGGTCTCGACGCAAAACTTAGCTGATCTAAAAAAGGTTTTGAAAAATTTAACCAAATCTCGGTCGAAGAATCTTCATAGAAATTTCATTCAGGGGTCCGTTTCATCAGATGTGCTAATGCAGCGGAAATGATAAATTTTAGCCTACATTTTGCTAAGTACTTACCAAATACAATAATTTCTAACCAGCGCCGATGTCCCATGTTCGCGTAATGTGTCTAATTATCTAAAAAAACTAATTTAGGGCGAAATTTTCTTCGCTCGGTGAATACTTTCTGGAAGATAAATAAAAAAAACATACAAAAAAAATTCTTTAAAATTTCTTTACAAATTATTTAGAATTTTTTTTTCACGAAAATTGAAAATTGACAGCGATTAAATGATTATAAAATGTTTGGCTCGGAGCATACTTTCCGTAAAAAAATCCAAAAAATTAAGAAAAGAATATCTTAACTAAAATTAGATTATACAATTTTTGGCTGAGTGAATACCTTCTGGAGGATATACAATTTTTGGCTCGGGGAATACTTTCTGGAAAATAGTTCCAAAAAATTAGGAAACAAAATTCGTAAAAAAAGTATTCACCGAGCCGAAATTTAGCGAAATCTCGAACTGAGAAAAAATTACAAGTACTCGTAGCGTTAAACGTACTGAATGTTCCTACAGGGCTAGTTGCCATTGCCAACGGCGCACCGCGGTGAGGCATCAAGTGGCGGGCACGTGAATTGTTGCTATTGCCGCTGGTTGTTTATTGCTGTGTTTGTTGCAAGAACAAGTACTTGTACATAAATACATACTTCATAGCAAGTTGGCCGCCTGTTGATGTTACAACTTGTTGGCTGGTGGCCGCAGTTGGCAGCTGTTAGCTATTTATTTTTTGTTATTTTTGGCTCTTGCCGCGTCTTTAGCACTCTGTCTCGGGTGTTTTGTACTTCTTTCTTTTCTACATACATAAAGGAAAGGAACTTAAAAATGCTAAAGTCACTGAGGTGGGCGTTTGGAATTTGCTCGTCTGCATTTAGTTTTCTGGTGGCCCAACTTTGGCCCTCGAAGCGTTGGTGTTGGCTGGTAACTGTTTAATGTTGCGGTTCTTAGTAATCTCGGCAATGTGTTCTGTTAGCTTTTTTATTCTGAGGAATGCCACTTATGCCTGGTTGCTGCTCTCATCTCATTTTCCTTTGCACTCCGAGTGAGTTACATTATAGGCCCTGCGTTGGAATGTCATTACTGGTGACATTCGTTTTCTTTTTTGTTCTTCGCTAGGCGTTATTCTCATTTTTGTTGCATTGCCTTAATGAAGTGCCAACTAATTTTAACCAATTTCACTGAAATTCGTAATTGGTGGGCAATCTCTTGTGGAAAATGCGGTGCATACTTTGGGTAATTTAGAGCATCAATTCTTTCGCTGGAAAATTTTCATAAGAAAGGGGTTTCAAGGAAATAAAGAAGTTTATGACAAGTAAGAAGGCGTTCTTATTAACAAGACAACCTATTAATATTTTTCTGATTCTTAGTTTACTGCTGGACTTCATTTACCAGTTGGAGGTTATCGTTGTTATGAGAATTTATTCCGCTCCGTCATGGAACCTTATCCAAGTCTTTCCATTAATAATGTCAGCCTTGAAATT